GAAGTGCTAGTTGTTATTAAACTTTGGAATGCTTGCCATTATAGGGCTTGAAAAGGGGTGCCGGCCATTATTGGGTTTTGGGGTGCCCGCTGTTACAGGGCTTGAAAAGGGGTGCCGTTTGTTAATGGATTTTGAGGTGCCTACTGTTCTTTTCTCAGCCAAGCATGGAAAGAAACCTTGAAAATAGCAAAGACAAGAATTCTTCAAGAAAATTCAGCTTTAGATCAAACCAGGAAGCTCCTTTACAAAATTAGAAGACCCAACAAGAGAGAGAGGGGGGTTTATCAACCATTGACTAGTACTATCGCCAATGTTTGACCATTCTACTTCATTCCTTTTCAAATTTATGTATTGGAAAAAAAAAAAGAATGGTTTTTCCTTTTTGCTCTAACTTTTGCCTAGGCTGCGCTTTCGAATTTTCAACCTAGTAAGTTTCTTCTTCTTTTTGTTGCTCTAATTTTTGCCTGGGCCACCCTTTTGGGTTTTCAAGCTAGCAAGCTCACTCTATTTTTTTTTTATTTCTTTAATTTTTGCTTAGGCTGTCTTTTTGGGTTTTCAACCTAACAAGCTCTCCTCTTTTTTTTTTCCCCTTAACTTTCACCTAGGGCGCCTTTTCGGGTTTTTAACTTAGCGAGCTCTTTTTTTTTAGGCATAATATATCTTGATGACATCAATGTTAATAGGCTTCAGCAGCTCTTTGCCTTCCATATTTGTCAAGATTAATGCACCACCTGAAAAAGCATGCCTAACTACATATAGCCTTTATAATTATAATTTGGGGCTCATTTACCTTTATTATCTTCTTCTCCCTTTTATTCTTCATTTCATTCCCTAAAAACATGACATCTTCTTTACACACACGTACGGGTGCGTGTTTTGTTGGTGAAGCCTTTTATTTCCTTTTTCTCCTTTTATTCCTTTTCATCTTTTTTCATTAGCATCTGATTTATACACGCTCAAAGAAAGATATAGAAGCACATACATGGTTTTTAAGCACACATGAACACATACACTCAAGCACATGTATTGGCTAGTTATTTTTGTGCCTATAAAGTGGAGATGATTGGAATAATCACCTAAGGTGCTTCAAGTGGTAAATCTCCAAAGGTTTGATCCCCCTTTTTTTAAAAGAATTACCTATTTTATTATACACTCCACTAACAAACACTATACCAATACTTGATTTGAGGCTTTCATATTTTTTTTAAGTCATACTGTGTGAAAATTTTAAAATCTCCACAAGTATTTTGTCAATTGGTATGCTGTGTATGGCAATGAACTATCATAGGCACACCAATCGTGGTGCTTAATTGATTTGTTTCATCCTTTTAAAAAAAAAAGAGCCTTTTTTTATAAATATAAATAGGTCAAAAAATAATCTCTATACCGTATGAGATTTTGGAATCTCCACAAACATAAAATAAATTAATTTTTGTGTGAGATTTCATGAATCTCCACAGGAATTTTAATTTATTTTTTTAAATAATCCTTTCTCAAATAAGGGAATAATTTTTTTTAAAAAAAATAAAAGATACCAATCCAATTAAAAACCTTTTTAAAAAAATTCCTTTTCTGAAAAATACTAACAAACCGACATGCATTTTTATCCTCAAACTATGTGAGCTTTGATCCCTTTAAAAGACACATAGGCCTTAAGGTTTTATCTCAGATCAAATCCAACTTGTAAATAAATAATTTTTTAATTATAATTTTCTTCTTTTTTCCTTTTTATTAATTAAGGATAACTAAATTTTATTTAAGGCCATATTAATTTTGTTCAATCAAATTAAGGTAATCATTCTTATAAATAGGTGATGTGGGGTGCCTAACACTCTTTTCATGTACAATCGACTCTCAAACTCTTTTAATTATTATAGACCATCTTATTTTTTTTAAAGTTTTTAAAATTATTTTTTTAAGATTTTGGTGACAACTCCTATAATTATTATTTTTTTTGTTTGAAAGATCACAATTTGGGCGAGACACATAGGTTGAGGGATAGATCTAAACGAAGATGAGAACGAGAAAGCAAAACACGAGAAAGGGGAAGCAAAATGTCATTTGTAAGCCAAAAGCCACCTTGTTATTTTTTAATTTTTTAATTTCTATAATTTATGCCACATGGCATATAACCGTTAACCTAACAGTCAAAATCCGAATCTGTTAGTCTAGAATAAAATTGTTCAACTTTAAAAAATATTGGGGCGATATTGTGCCTTTTAAAAGCGTAAATATATTAATTGCACCTTGTTGAAAATATCCAAGACGGATTTTTACTTTAACCCTAGATTAATCTATCAGTTAATAAGAAAAAACTATACACCATTGGTAACGAATAAAAAAATGAATAAAACTAATATAAAAGTAAATATTTAAAATTTTATATGGTGATAATAATATTTTTTTTTGCTATCATTGCCTCAACTATCCAAAATAATATCTTTTTTGAGAAATTGATTAGCTATGGTTCTAAAATATCCAAAATAATATCTTTTTTTTTTTTTGCTATCATTGCCTCAACTATCCAAATTTTATAAGAAATTGATTAGCCATGATTTTACAATATAATATCTTTTTTAATAATATTTTTGACATTTTGACCCTTGTGAAAAAATAGTATAATTAACATAGAAGGCTTTGAAAAACAAAATTAAAGGCTAAGGAGTTAATTTTATGCATTTAAAGATGAGGAAGGTCATATGCAATTGTTTCAAAAGTTCAGAAGGGTTTTATGCATTTTAGCCTATTTTAAAAATGTCTTTATATATTTTTTGTTTACCCACAAGTATTATTCTATTAGAGGCAACCATGCATGTTTAAAGTACTACGATTAAGTCCTAAATGTGGGTACCTCTTTCAATGAAAATTCAAGCCTTGATTTGTCATGTTGTGAGAGACCAACTCCTTCTACTAGATCCAATCCTGTTGGTAAACAAAAATGTCTTAATAGGAAATAGAAGGGAGAATCATATTTAAGGACTACTCAAGGAAATTATTCATAGACAAAGACTAAAAATAAGTTCCATTTAAAAAAAAAAGTCACGTTCTCATTTTTAACAATAACTCATTTTGTATCGGTTCTTATTTGTAAATAATTTTTTAAGTCATCCTTGTATTTAATTCTACCAAATAGTAATATTTAACATGGATGAGTTTGGCATATATTATGCAACAATGTTTTCATTGATGGGCTCATGTGACGTTAAGTATCCAATGTAAACGGAAGCTCTATCTGGAGTTACTCTAATTGCTAAAAAAAACAATATAATTTTAGCATCTCAATCATAGGGTTCTCTAGAAATTGTCACAGCAAAATTATTTCATTTTTTTCTCATAGAATTTGTACAACCATTACAATGAGAAAAATTAAAATATCCTTCAAAAAATAGTCAAAGACTCAAAGTGCTCCCACCCTATCAAAATATCACTAATAGTGAGTGACTAAATTGTAATACTAAATAACTTATCAAGTATAACCAACCCAAGTAATGTTTCATATACAGTAATAAAAAGGTAAAAAAATATAAAGTAATAAAAAATTCTAATTATAACTAACAAAGTCAATCTAGTTAATAAGGATTTGACACATCATTCATAAAATAGCACTACAACATTTTTGTTATCTTGGAACACTTCTAAAGTGTTGCTACAAGGTTGAAAAATATTGCCTAAAAGAATAGATAACAGTTTTCAAGTGTTTCTAATTTGAATATTGCCTATTACTTTATGTAACAGTTTTCTTATCTTTGGCCACATCATTTGAAAAACTGTAGCCTAGAACCATGAGAATAGACAACAATTTTTGAGAGATTTGTTGCAACAGTTTTGAAATGTTGCTTATTACATGAAATTGGCAACATTTAAAAATTATTGTGAAATAGTTAAAAAACCAAACATTAATATTTTCTTCCCTACTTAAGATTCAAACCCTGAGCCTCTTGAGAGAAAAGAATAACTCTAACCACTGTTCTAAATTGACTTATTGATATTATAATGCAAAATATTATTTATATATATAATTGTTAAATTGATTTTTAAATTTATCCAAATAATAAATTAAAAAATTAAGAAAATAAATAAATAAAAGTATATATAAAAATTATAAAAATAAATCAAAAATAAATTTTTATATATAAAAAAATAACAAGCAATAGTTCTTAAATGTTGTTAGAAAGAAGATTTATAGGCAACATTTATATTTTTGTTGCCCAGTAGAATGAGACACAGTTTTGAAATGTTTTCATTAAAAAACTTTTATATATGTTGCCTATTGAAAAATTTTATTTCAATGCTTAAAAATTATTCCTTATTCTATTTTAAGGAACATTTTTTAAATGTTACCAAAAATATGTTGCTTAAAGTAAGGGATTAAAGCAACATATAAAAAATGTTGCTTATAACCATATTATTAGGCAACACTTTTAGAACTGTTGCACATAAAACTATTGCTTAAAGTAAAAAAATGTTATAGTATTGATAGATCAAATTCTGCTTTCAATATGAGAACCTTATTGATAGGTGATATGAAAGTATTTATGTAAGCATTCTTTAAACTTGAAAGTAAACTCTGGCCTTGTGAGTGGTGAGTTCCTGGACCCAACTTATCCAAATGTTTTTGCTATCAAACAAAATTCTAATTATGTACCAAAAAAAATTCTAATTATAATTCTCACTGGAATCAAGCAGGCATTGATTAAAAATTACTATATTCAGATGGGTTCTTTCATTTAAGTATACCTGTAATTATAATTCTAATTAATATTAAAATTTTCATATTTTTTAGAAATTTTTATTTTAATAATATAATATTAAAAATATTGAAAAAATGAATTTAAAATAAACGGTAAAGATCAATTGACAATGAAATTAAAGGCTCAGATCAGCTCAAAATGAGCACGGAATGTGAACTCGCATAGACTAATCATTTCAAACGTGAAACGCCTACTTTGGGGGGTGAAAGGAAGAGTGCAGGATTCATTGAACGGACCTCGTCAAAAGTCAAAACACACATGTGAAGTTGATTTGCCTTGACCTGCACGTACTCTCCAACAACTCCCTCGTCACTGATCTCTGGCACACCCTTCTTTACTTTTTCTCTGTTCTTACTTCTTACTTACCACGCACAGTTACCTTAGCTTCCTCATTTATATATATACACAGTTATACACTACCTCTTCAATCTCATCAATCATATACTAGTTGCAGAAAAACCAAACGCAACTATGGCTTCCCCTTCTGTTTTCACAGCATGTGAATCTGCTGGTAATAGGTAATTATGATGCTATTGCTTGAACTTGATCATTTGTTACGTGCTTGTTTGCTTGATTGATTAATAACCTTTCTATGTGTATATTATTGAAACAGCAGCGAGGAAATCAATTGGGATGAAATTGGGTTTGGCATAATTCCAACGGATTCCATGTATTTGATGAAATGCCCCACAGAAGAAGATACTTTCTCCGACGGAAGCCTCGTCCCATATGGGAATCTAGAGCTCACCCCTTCTGCTGGAATCCTAAATTATGGTCAGGTTAGTAATTAAGCAGACACTGAGCCTTCTCTGAATCATTTGCTACGTGACAACAGTATGAGAAACTAAATGTATAGCGTAAACCATGGTATTTTAGCATTGATCTTGGATATTATAACAAGGCCACATCATGTTATCATCATATGCTTCTGCTTGGTATCTTGGATAATCAATATACACTAGTTGCTATTTTGAACAGTACATCAAATAGAGACATTCAGATTGATCAGTCTAACATGATGATGCTTTCCTATTTGCAATTCACGGCATTAACGCAAGTTCTGCAGAATGTTTGATGATAAAATTTTGGTACCAATATATATTCTTTAGGGCGTCTTTGAAGGGCTAAAGGCAAACAGAACCGAAGATGGGCGTATACTTCTGTTTAGACCAGAAGAGAATGGTAGGCGCATGAAGACTGGAGCAGATAGAATGTGCATGCCATCACCATCTGTTGAGCAATTTGTAAATGCTGTGAAGCAAACTGTGCTTGCCAATAAACGTTGGGTATGTGTGCGCGTGTGTATCATATAAGCCTTCAAATCTCTCTCTCTTTCTCAGATTTATTTTTCTCCCTCTTTCTGATTCATATATACCCAAAAAGAAGATATTGAACAAGTTTGTGTTGGTGCTTGAAACATTCTGGGAAAGGTTCCTCCTCTGGGGAAAGGATCACTGTATATTAGGCCACTGCTTATGGGAACAGGAAGTGTGTTAGGCTTAACGCCGGCACCTGAATACACCTTGCTTGTCTATGCTACTCCTGTCAAAACCTATCACAAAGTGAGTTTATTGTATATACACACTTGAAATTGATTTTACTCATTGAAATTTTTATCATATTTTATCGCCTTCTTAAATGAGAATATAATAATTACTACATGCATGTAATTAATTATAGGGTCCATTGAACTTGGTAATCAAGGATAAGCTGTACAGAGCCATCTCTGGGAGTGGAGGAACTGGAAGGATCAAGAGTGTGGTTAACTATTCTCCAGTAAGCAAGCAAAAGGGAATAACATATTCATATTGTTTTGCATTTGATTGGAACTTATCACGTGATTTTTCATGGAAAACCGCTACAAGAACAGTTAAAATTACTGTCGCCATTTGGCACAGGTCAAAATGTTGTGCCACTTAGCAGCGGTTTGAGGGAAAACTGCTACTAGAGCAATACTTTGTAGCGGTTTGGATTAACTGTTACTAAACAGAGTTTTTAATTAAAGTATTGATGATTAGTGGATGGATGTTGTAGGCTTATAAGGCACTGAAGGAAGCAAGAGCCGAAGGGTTCTCCGATATCTTATATTTGGATGCAGCAACAGGAAAATTTATTGAGGAGCTTTCTTCATGTAATGTCTTCCTTGTGAAGGTACGTACACCTAGAGCTGTCAATTAGGGCCAAGTCTGTCGCGCCGACCCTTTTAAACTTGAAAAAAATCTAGGACCGGCTGCTACTTTAAAGTGTAAAGTAATAATTTGGGCATAAAAGAATTAGGCCGTTATTTTAGAGTATAAAATGATAATTTAGGCCAGCCCTAAAATAAAAAAGTTGGCCCTTTTAAGCCATTTTATAATTTTTTTAATTTTAATATTAAAAAATTAAATATTATATTAATTTTAAAACCCTAATCTTATTTTACGGAGATAAAAAACGAATATATGAAAAGCTTAATATCTTTACCATTGTTAAGGCTCCACAAAAAGAAGGATGAAATTATATTAATATTAATGACAATAAAAATCATCAAGATTTCACTGATGATGGTAGCAAAGTCTTATTGTTATTGGTGTTGATTTTGTGGTATTATTTTTTATTAGAATTAAATTCTTTTTTATAGATTTAATGTTATTGTAACTTTTTTGAAATTTTAAATATGTTCTTTAGATTTTAAAATTAAAAAATAAAAAATATATATAGGGCTAAGGCCTTGAAGGCTAGGGCCGGGTTGATCAAAATAGAGGTTTGAGGTATAATTGAACTTTATAAGGTTAGCCCATTTAGATCTTAGATCAGCCTCAATTGACACCTCTATATACAACCCAACATATAGCAATATAATAACAGTTCTTTCTCTCATCTTGCTTGTGCTTTTTATTTTTTTATTTTTCATTATTGTTGTCGTTGTTATTTTTATTACAAATCTCAAGAGAATAATGCATCTTTTAGATGTAGCTACTGACTTTGAGTAGCCAGTTGATGTTAAATATTTTATACAAGAGATTATGAGAATGAGAATATGTTATATTATTCTAGCATTTATAGGTTACAACTATTTTCTTTTCCTTTCCACTGCAGTGCATAAGTAAATAATAACTTCAGGAGATATAACTTACGTGAAGGAAAAAAAATTAAATTAAGAAAGAACACAGTTAAAAATAATGAAAATATGATCATGGATTGCATAGTAAAGAAAAATGTTAAAAAAAAATAAAAGAGAAAAGACACAAGCAAGCAGGGGCAAATCATCAATTGGCTTTACTTAATAGTAAATTCATTGTAAGACTTATTGTGAAAATGTTATATTTATTTGGATAAATAACCATACAATATATATATATATATATATATATATGGGATCTTCAATAATCCCACAATAAACCTCTTTTTTGAAGTTTTTTTTTTTTTTTGGTGAAGGGTAATGCCATCTCAACTCCAACAGCCGAAGGGAATATTTTGCCTGGAATCACACGGAAAAGCATCATTGAAATTGCCATTGATTTGGGTTATGAGGTGATTTATTTTGAAATAAATCAATTCTATTAATTCAAAAGCTATTAATATTCTCCAAAAAAACAATAATATTCAATATATTTGGAATAATTTCTATTTAGGCATTGCAACGGCCGTATCTGTTGAAAGTATTAATTCATAAATGTTAACAATAATTCACAATCATCATTTTTAATCTCTATTGAAAATTATGTACTAATTTAATTTGAAAATTTTTGACAATCAATAATTGTAGCAAATAATGTAAATTTTTAATACTTTTTTTAATATTTTATTCAACATTTGTTAACCATTGTATAAACAATGACATATATATTGATATTAGTGGCCTTCAAAAATGATTATTTTTCTAAGTAGTTTCTTGGAAGAATTATATACAAGTCCTATACAAGAAAATTAATTATTATAAAGTTTATTGACAATTGAACGAAGGCCATTAATAACACAATCAATTGTCAATAGCTTTAATTCAATTATCAATGGACTTTGTAGTAATTAATTTTTTTATGTATGATTTCTATATAATTCTCCCTAGTTCCTTTCTATCAATATTGATGGATTATGTAATAGATTAATTATTGTACTTGTATAATTTAGAGTAAATTGGCCCCATGACCATGAAAAATATATTAACCAAAAATTAAGAAATAAATTTTTGAAAATTCTAGAATGTAACCCATTTATAATTAATTGGGGTGCAATTTTTTCTTTTTATCCCCAAAACAAATTAAAAAAAAACTTATGTAATGAAATAGAAAAACTCTATAACTGAATGGTTATAATTGTGGCCCATTTATAATCATATATCGCTTCAATATTTGAACACTTTTAAATACTTCACCATCAGTTTAGTGAGATAATATATTTCAGATTTGAGAATGAGATTTTAGATTTGAAGAGAAGAGGTGTTTTTGTCTTTTCAATTTAACTTAAATATTAATCCGATTATATTGCAAAATATTTGAAATGTTAGGCTATTATGTTTGTATGATTCTATTAAATGAGCTATAAATGTAAAAGTAGACCAATAATTTATAACAAGTCATGCCAAAAATAAGTTATTCTATTCAGAAGTTAAAAAAAATACGTCTCATAATCTCATTGCGCAATATACAAAGAAATATGTCTAGATAATATTGTACATTAGTCTTTGCAACGTAACAATTGGACAATGTTGATTTCAAATTAATGTATAGCAGATAAAAATCTCATGCCAAAAAAGGTATACATGTGTGCTATCAATATTGTACATTTGTTGCATTGCAAAATACATTTTCAAAATTTGCAGATATACATATTTACAAGTTTTCAAAACGAAATATTACTTTTGGTCCTTTTTGTGAGTTAAAAAAATAAAAGAGAAAAGTTTTGATGATGTTGTGGGAATATTAACAATGTGTTGTAGGTAATGGAACGTGCAATATCAGTGGAGGAGTTAATGGAGGCTGATGAAGTGTTCTGCACCGGAACTGCAGTCGGCGTCAATCCTGTTTTATCTATCACTTACAATAACACCAGGTAAGTATATTATTAGACTCATACAATGATCTTCCTTTAATTTTATTGAAATTACATAAATTTTTCATTTGTTTTCAAAACAGATATTTTAATCTAATTTTTTTTTAATAAAGATAAAAATATTTTGTTAAAAATTTAAAATATTTAATTTTTTTTACTTGTGATCATGTTGAAAATTTTAAAATTATTAATTTGTCCTTATAATCTAATTGTCTACTCACCTCCTAATTTAAAGAATTTTAAACAATTAAGCATAGTAATATTTAAATAAATAAGTTAAAAATATTGTTTTTTATTAATATAGTGTTAAGATCAATAAAATTTGAAAAAAAAATAAACATAAATTTATTGACTAATTTATCTCTTGTTAAATTAAATCCCTGTTTTATTAAGTTTTTTAACCTCTGTTTGAAATTTTATTTTAGCCAACTTTTGTATTTAAATTTTAAAAATTATTAAATAAATAAGTTTACATAACTGAAAATTTAAATATAAACAAAAAATTTTAAAAATATGCATTAAATTTGTTGTGAGTAACTTGAATGAATTTTTGACAGCACATATGTTTAAGAGGATTATCTTGGTTCAATACATGTGACTTAACAATCAATTAATGGTTGATAGATGAAAATGAAATCTTAAGGAAAATCTGTGTTTTACCACTATTACTTCTAAGGAAAGTTCATATAAATTTTAAACATATAAAGATGTATGTATAATAACGATAATATATAGGAAATGTCAACGTAGTTTACTCATAATAATATTAATATTATTATATGGGAGCGTATTGAATGTTAATATATATATATAGGGATAATATGATTTAGTCTTTAAACTTTCTCTCAATTATTAATTTAGTCCTAAAATAATTTTAAAAAATTTTATCCAAACTTCTCAATTTTCTCAAAACTCATTTGGTTTTCAACACTCCTTTTGAAATAAATTAAAATTTATTTCATTTTTTAAAAAATCAATTCTTACCATTTTTAACTTATCACTTTGAATAGTAGAATTAATTCTAAAAAAATTATTCAAACATCTTTAATTTTATCAAAATTAATTTTAAAAATCTATTCAAATATCATCTACATTTTAATAATTAATTTTTTTCATAATTAATTTGTCTTAATTGAAATTCAAACACACCCTTAGTAGCTTGAGTAATTGGGATGCAGAGCTGAATATAAAGCAGGAGCAGAAGCAGTTTCTCAAAAACTGTGCCAAACCTTAGTTGGTATCCAAACAGGACAAGTTGAGGACGCAAGGGCTTGGACTCTTCAAATTGAATAAGCCATCGCATTCCATATATGATCTGTCTATGTTGTATTATTTGTTTTTCCTACTCATGTTTCCTTCTGCATTTGAACATCATTTTGCTATTGACTAATTCAATGGATTTATAACGCAAGACAGAAAAAAAGATTTTATTTCATATATAGCCGTTTGACTTCTAACACAAAAATAACGTGGTAGTGAATACGAGTTTCGTTTCAAGCAATGCAACACAGTCCCATTAAATACACGAGAACAGCAGCTCTACCAAAAAAAAGACAGAAATTGGAAGCTTCACGAGGAAGAATTTAGGTCACTTTTAACACATGAAAGAGATTAAATGGAAACAGAACCTTTCCATTTTTCTAATTATCTTTTCTCCTCAATTTCTCTTATCACAATCATTCATTAAATCTATGACTAGAACATATTTATTTAATGCAATGATATTAATGGTCATAATGTGGAAAATTATAATTTTAAAAGGTTAAGTTTCAATTGTGTCCCTGTACTTATTTTTTAGAAATGTTAAATAACCTATACTTTTAAGTGGAATAATTTTATTTTCAAACTATTTTTTTGAGGAGCAAAAAACCACTCTGTTAATGAACCGCTAATTTTTTTTATTTTTTACTAATGTGACATGTGTGTAGAGTCACTCATAATGACATGTAAGACTTTGACCATGTACTTTGATGCTAATTTGCCCTTAAACTCTTTTTCCTAATTTTTTTTAGGAGAATTAGGTATCTTAAAATCTTATTAAAATAAAATTTATTAAATATTACCAAAATATTTTAAATATTTTTATATTTAATAATTTAAATTTTATTATTTATAAATGTTCATTCAAAATTTATAATTTACTTTTTAAATATTAACTCAAACAAGCATTTTTAAAATTTATAGATGATTTTTTATTTTTTTTTATATATCAATCTTCAATCTTCTTTTCCAGACAGTGCCCAAATTGTTATGCTCTTTATCTGTGTCAAAATTTACTTATATTTTTAATATTGATTAAGTTTCTTAATTTTTCTGGTTAACTAATGATCTTCCTCTAAAATATTATATTATTTAAATTTAATACTCTTTATACACTGCAATGTTAGTTGTAAAATAAAAAATATGGCAACTAAGACTAACAAAATGATAACAAAAATGCATATTTAAAAGATATCGTTTATTTCATTAATCAGTTGCAAAAAAAGTTACTTAATAAGAATTGAGAGATGAGAAGAAAAAATTTATTCATTAATTTGGAGGTTCATTTCTTTCATTTTTAATACAAAATTATAAAATATTAAAAATATTAAAATATTAAGTTGAGTGGTGTAATGTTTTAAATAATAATATGTAAATTATTAAATATTAAAATACTTAATATTTTAACAATATTTATTAAATTTTATTTTAAAAAGATTTCAATGTAAGGTATTGAAAATCAGACTAGTGACTGAACCAACCGAGGTTAAGGGTTAGGGGTGAAGAGTTTAACCAAAGTTGAACCAAAAGTCAAACCAATTATAATAAAATAAAATAATTTAAATAAAAAGACATTAATCTTTACAACATTTATCCATATCAATGATTTGGGGATTTTTTTTACTAATTATTAATATTAATTTATTTTAAATTTTAATGTTTTCTTCCTTATCTTTTCACTTTTTTTTTTTACAATTTTTATGTCTCTTATCACGATTTCCAACACTAATTTTATGTGTCTTTAAACTTGGACCTGGTTTGGATACTCATCATAATAATAAGCATCATGGTGTTCATCACTATAATGAAATTTAAATCATTCAAATTTTTTAATTTGAATAGTTCAAATTTAAAAGATTGTTGTATATATTTTATTTTTATATTTATTAAAATAAAATTTATAAAAATTATAAATTAATTTTAATAATTTTTTATTTTTAATATAATCTAGATTTAATTTAGAGGGTCAAATTTAATATTAAAATTTTTATTACTTCTTTCAAATGCCATTTCAGCATTTTACCTCTTTCGTCCTTCATTTTTTTTTTACCTTCACAACTCTTAACCTTCCTTTCAAACGTAGAAGACAAACTCACAGACATAGAACACCGTGAAGCTCTGAGGATTGAGAAAGCTTGTTGAAGCCATAAAGCTCTGAGGGATGGCTACTCTTACTCATCACTCGTCTCAGGGTGAGAAGGCGAGGGAGAATGGAGGAGAAATGAAGTTGAGTTCTAAATCTGAAGTCTAGTCTCAAGTTTGAATGCTATCTGAAGTGAAGGGTGAGAATGCTAGTACTTCTGAATATCATGAATTCTAATTTTTATTTTTTTATTTTTAAAAATTTTTGAAATCCCAAATCCACAACGTTTTGGGATTCAAAATTTTTTTTTAAAATATAACCCGCCTGACTTGTGGGGTTGAACAAGTTAATCCTAAATTGCCTATGATATTCAATGCACACAAAGCATAGAATTGGACTGGACATATGATCGAGTCACAGTTCAACCGATTAGTCCGGTTCAGTTTTACATACAATGCTTCAGGGTGCCCAACATTTCTTAAAAAAAATTTTAGGGTGTTCAGCACTACTAGAAAAAAGTTCAAAGGCAAATTAATATCAAAGAACTTGATCAAAATCTTACATGTTATTGTGAGTAGGCTCCACGCACATGTCACGTCAGCAAAAGACAGGAAAATTAATGTTAACGTAGGGGTTTTTTTGCTCCCCAAAAAAATGGGTCAGGGATAAAATTACTTCATTTAAAAGTATAAAATGTCTAACACTCTTAAAAAATAAATACAATAATAAAATTGAACCTTAATCCTACAAAAGAAAAAGAAGAAGAGCTTCCAGGTCCAAATTAAACAGGGGAATGAATTGAAAAAAAGGTGATTTTGTGGATGTGAAATGCCTTTAATAATTAATAATTTAAAAATAAAAAGAAATATTTAGTACTACCGAGAATCAAAAATTTAAAAAAAAAAAATTATTGTACCGTTAGCACACTATGGAAAGGGTCAAAGGGATTTGTTTTCCATCAATTCTACTAAATTAAGCATTCTGGCTAAACTCGAAGAAAGACTCTAGAGTTTCAAAAGATAAAATTAATTACAGGTAGGGTTTTAACAAAAAAAAAATTTATGAAATGAATTGTAAATATTAGTTAAAAAATTATAAATAAAAAATTTAATTATAAACTGAAAGTTATACTTATAATTTGAATGTTTTATTTATAAATGAAATTTTTGAAATTACAATTATTTAAATTGATATTTAAAACTTATTTTTTTAATAAAAGAAGTCATGAATTCTTTCTGGTGAAACTTAATTGTCATGTTTCATCCAATTTACTTGGAATTTAATTTAATTTTTTTATGTAACTTTAAAGCTAAATTACACACAACTCTCCTAAACTTTAAACCATATACAAATAATCTCTTTAACTTTTAAAATTTAAAAATAAATCTCATTGAGCTTTTAAATTTATGCAAATAACTTCTAACCATTGATTATATATCTCCTTAAACTTTTTTTTTTTTTGGTGTATTTAAGCTTTCAAACTTTGATTGACATACGGATAACACCGTTAAACTTTAAATTATGTGTAGATAATTAATATATATAATTAATTATAGAAAATTATTTGCATAAATATAAGAGTTGGGAGGGTTCATTATAAAGTTTCAAAGATTGAAAAGATTATGTGTACATGGTTTAAAATTCAGAAAGTAAGTGTACATGATTAAAATTTATGAGAATAATGTATAATTTAGCCTAATTTTAATTCAAGCAAAAGAAAGTTTTTCCAAACTATTATAAAAATTACTAGTTGTAACAAATGTTAGGCGAAAAGTAGGATACAATACACATCGGAATGATGCTCGAGGAAAAATTATTGGGAAAGACCTATATGCTTAGTGATATATATTTAAAATACTTGTCTCTAATTAAATTAAGATATGTGTATTTTACATAGATTTTTTATTTTACAACAACTCTTATTATTAATATTATTAACACATTAAAAGTCACTTATTTTGATTAAATTGGATAAAAGTATATGAAATAAAAGTATATAACTCTTGTCCAAATTTATGTTGTTGGAAAAATATATAACCAAGAAAAAATAAATAAAAAAACAAATTAATTTTTCATTTTACCTTAAAGGACAAGAGAAGCCCATCGGCAAAGTTGAACGTTAAGGTACTGAAAATTAAATTAGCATAAAATACTGGTTTAATAATTAATGGTCAAAATTATAATTGAATTATAACCAAATTAATTATAAGCAAAATATTTTACTACTAAACATGTCAAGGCATTTGTTTAATGGTTTATTAGTTTAATCAGGTGAGTTGACTTGAATTTTTATACTATACTTCCTCCGTCTCAAATTACAAAACATTTTTAGAGAAGATTTGATGTCTCAAAATATAAGACACTTTGATAAAAATAAAGTTTTATTAACAATAGTTTTTCAATATTACCCTTCTCATATATTTTCTCCCTTCAATATTCTTTTATTAATGGAATATAAATAAAGAACATTTTTAAAAGTTTATATTTTTATCTTGAAAAAGTAAGGTTGTATAGTGTATTCAATGAGGTTTATTTATATGTAAAATTTTATCTAAAAGTATTTTATAATTTAAAATAGAAGGAGTATTAAATACACACTTCAACAGAAAGGTAAATGAACTTGCCCCATTGATGCTCAACAAACTAATTCACAGCAGAAAAGCGACTATGCTCTAATCTTATATTTAAATGGGGAGAAAAAAATAGAGCATTAAATTTGAATGAAAACTAACTCACATTTTTTAAATAATAATAAAAAATTTTTGAATTATATAAATGATAATTTGGGCTCTTGATTTCACTAAAGTCCTTAGAGATTCCTTTATCAATAAATTTTAAATTAAAAAAATTATTTTAACCTTATTGATAAATTGTAATTTCTTATTTAATTCTTGTGATTTTTTTAAAAAAAAGTTGTAAATGAAATGTATTATTTTAAGAACTTATTTTTTAATAATACAAATTACATTTGACAAATTATAATTTCTTGTTCAACTCTCAAAATTCATAGAACAAAAGTTATTATTTTTGAAGCAAAAGTTGTGATTTTTTTCTATTCATCCAAATATAAAAAGAAAAAACATAGGTCACATTG